ATTTTAAGTGAATGGTAAGTCAGAGTTAGCATGTACGTTTACTGAGAATGGTTCTTGGGGAGCACAGAGCCTTTTGTAGAGTTAACTTTTTATTTATATAGAAATGATCCTTAGGTCCTTATTGTTATTAGTTTTGGTGATTACCAAGTAATACATATTACAGAAAATTAGTAAAAGGCAGAAGATGAAAAAACACCTATAATTCTAACATCCAGAGGTTCTTTTCATATTTCAGCTCTGTCCATTTATCTTTCCATCCATCAGTCCATCTTTTCTTTCTTGCTTTTTTTAAGAGCTGAAATTAAACTGTATATTGTTGTGTAACCTGCTATGTTTTGCCAAGGAACTTAAAAGAAGGCTTATCTAGCATGAGGGATTTAGGTTGGCTATGTGTAGTAAGAAGAAAATGTCTAATGTGCTTTGTCAATGAATTATTGAGGGAAAGTGCAACATTTTCTTCTCTAGCAGTCTTAAAATATACTAGGATAAACTCATTTCAATGATGGTGAGGGTATGACCCCGCTTTACTGCCCTGTTATTCTCTGATATGTGGGCAAGCCATGAGAGTGCTTTTCTGAGCACTTATGTCTCCCAAAAGTAGCAGAAAGAAATATTGGTTAGAATATGATGTGATAGAGACTTTTATTAATCCCTCACCTATACTTGCCTTGAGGACTGAAGAGTTTATCTCTCCCAAGAGTGTAAGACTGCTCAACTTTTCATTTTTAAATATTAAAATCATTGTAAAATTCTACTCTAATCTGGAATAAAGACAGGAAAGATTAGTGTCACTTTACATGAACAAATCATTTTAAATAGGCTTAAATCTAAGAGGTAGAAGCTGCTTTGCCTAGACTGACTATTTGCTTAGACTATTTATGTCAGATTGGCTAGGATAACTCTGCGTGTGCGTGTGTGTGTGTGTGAGAGAGAGAGAGAGAGAGAGAGAGAAGGCTTCCTTTTATGGAATGCATGATTGGCATGTAGAGGCTACTGCTACTAGAGAATTAGAAGGTCTGATAAGAGTTATGATAACTATTTTTTACCAGAATCACAGCTTTTTGGATCTATATTTTTCTCAGAGTATCTTTCTTAGTGTGAGCAAATGTGCTCACATCTATATCTATATATAGATATAGATATGCACACACACCCCCAAATACACGCTCCCATCTCTTTTCCATAGAGATAGAAGGTAGAAGAGAGTAGAGGAAATATTTTCTTTGTTGAATATTTTTGGTTGTAAACAAATGTAATATTAATGTATTTATTCACATAAATGCTTACTGAACTCGCTGAGTGTGGGTACTTTGTTGCAAATGGGGGATAGGAGATGGTCTAAAAGCATTAAAGAGTGGCACTGAGCTATTTAGTCATTGGTGCACACGTAACTGTTCATCTCTACCTGTTACTTGGTGGCCTCAGAGGGGGAGTCCTTGCTGCCTGCACGATAAAGTCTAAACTCCTCAGCATGAGAAGACCATTTGCAATCTGGTCTCCATTTGTCCTTAAGCGTCCTCTCCTAATATCTTCCGTGCCCACCTTATGCTCTGGTCATTCCTATGAACAGAATTTATTAAGCTCCTTACTAAGTACTGGGTATTTTCAGATAACTTGTGGCTTCTCAGACATTCTCTGTTTCTTCATGTTCTCTTGCTTGGGGCCTTGTGGTTTTCCTTATTGGAATGCCCTGGCTCTGTTAGCCGGTGTGACACTCAACCACTTGCCTATTTGTCCTTCCCACTAGTCAGCGGGATCCTGGAGGGCAGAGACTTTCTCCTCTGTGGGTCTCTAGCCCTGAGTAAGGCGCTTAGCGTACAGTAGCCAGTTAGCGTGTGGAACACGTGAATTAACAAGGCCAGTTTAAATGTAATCCAAATTTATCCCTCATTTTTTGTTTATCTGGGAAAGTCTTAATTTCTCCTTTATTTTTGAAGGATAGTTTTGTCAAATAGGTATTCTTGGTTTGTAGTGTTTAGTGTTTTTTTTTTTCCTCCCTTCAGTACTTTGAATATTTGAATATATTATTCGACTCTGGCCTACGAGGTTTCTCTGAAAATCATTGGAGCTCCCTTGTATGTGATAAATTGCTTTTTTCTTGCTGCTTTCAAGATTCTTGCTTGGTGGTTTGATTATAATGTGTCTTGATGTAGGTCTCTTTAGATTTATCGTTTTTGGTATTCATTGAGCTTCTTGAATTTGGATGTCCATTTCCTTTCTCAGATTTGGCAAGTTTTTAGCCATTGTTTCTTCAAATAGGCTATGCCCCTTTCTCTCCTTTGCTTCTGGCACTCCCATAATGTGTACAATTGATCCATTTGGTGATGTCCCTTAAGTCCCTTAGGCTGTCTCACTTTTCTTTCTTTTTTCTTTTTGCTCCTCTTAACTCCGTAATTTCACATGATTTGTGTCCAAGTTTGCTGATTCTTCTGCTTGTTTAAGTCTGCTGTTGAATCCCTCTAGGACATTTTTCAATTCAATTATTGTATACTTCATCTTCTGATTTTTTTTTTAATAGTTACTGTTTGTTGATATTCTCATTTTGTTCATGCATCGTTTTCCTGATTTTGTTTCATTGTCTCTCTGTTTTCTTTTTTAGTTTACTGGAATTTTTTTTTAAATTTTTATTTATTTGACACAGAGAGAGAGAACACAAGCAGGGGGAGCGGCAGGCAGAAGGAGAGGGAGAAGCAGACTCCCCACTGAACAGGGAGCCTGATGCAGAGCTCGATCCCAGGACCCTGGGTTCACAACCTAAGCCTAAGGCAGACGCTTAACCAACCTAGCCACTCAGGCACCCCTTTATTGAGCATTTTTAAGATGATCATTTTGAATATTTGTCAGATAAGTCATAGATCTCTGTTTCTTTAGGCTTGGTTTCTAGAGATTTATTTTGCTCCTTTGAGTGAGCCATGTTTCTTTGTTTCTTTGTACACTTCATGATCTTTTGCTGAAACTCAAGCATTTGAAAAAACAGCCACCTCCCCCAGTCTTAATGGACTGGTTTCATGCAGAGGAAGACCTTAGTAGTCAGCCTGGGTAGAGATTCTGGGGGTCTTTCAAACCTTTTCTGGGGATGATTCTTCTGTAGGTTTGCGTGTGAAATTTTCTAGTTAGTGGTCTGCCTCTGTTCTCAAGTTGCCATGGTCTCTTGCTGTCCCTGGTGTCTGTCTGTCCCTGGTGTCTGTCTGGGGCACTGCAGACTCTGGTGCTGTAACAAGCCACCACATTCGCCTTTGTTTTCAGCAGCCCCCAAAGTATACTGCCATTCCTTTCAGCATTCTGAGTCAGGTGAGATAGAAACCTGTCCCTTGGGCAGCCCCCTTGTAAAGCCAGAATACTGGATATTCCATTCTTCTCTTTGCCTCCTGGGGGAGAAGCTAGAAGTGGGGAGTTTTTCCCCAATTGCACTGAGCTTTGCTCGGTGGATGGGAGCTAAGATGGGTAAATGCAGCAAACTTTCTTTCCCACTTTGATGTGGCTTCTCTTGACTTTGGACTCACTTGGGGTGCTGCAAACTCTTAACTGGTTTCTGGAGTTCTCCCAAAGGCAAGTTGGTCCATGTACTGTTAACTTGGAATCCTCATGGGAGAGTGAGGATCTGGAGGTTTCTATTCTGCCATCTTTCGATGTTACTCTCAAGTGTTATCTAATCCGGGATGCCTGGGTGGCTCCGTCGGTTGGGTGTCTGCCTTCAGCTCAGGTCATGATCCCAGGGTCCTGGGCTCGAGTCCCGCATTGGGCTCCCTGCCCGGTGGGGAGCCTCCTTCTCCCTCTCCCTCTGCTGCTCCCCCTGCTTGTGCTCTCTCTCTGACAAATAAATAAATAAAATCTTAAAAAAAAAAAGTGTTATCTAATCCATTTTTTGAAATGGAGATAATTAATATTGGTAGAACTTTATTTTTTTAAAGATTTTATTTATTTATTTGAGAGAGAGAGAGCGCGAGCAGGGGCAGGGCAGAGGGAGAAGCAGCCTCCCCGCTGAGCAGGGAACCTGATGTGCGCCTGAATCCCCAGACTCCAGGATCATGACCTGAGCCGAAGGCAGATGCTTAACTGACTGAACCACCCAGGCGCCCCTGTTCATAGAACTTTAAATAGCATAGTGGCACATCTAATCTCACCACCCTCTCCAATCAAAGATTAAAGAAGTCATCCCAGGCTTCTGGCTTTCCAGTCTGTCTCTGCTGCCTGTCTCTCTGTAGTAACAATGGCTAACATTTAATGAATGCTCATTGTTTCTCAGGAATAGTTCATGTTCCCATTATGTGTATTAACTGATATACTTCTGACAGTAGTTGTGAAAGGATGATACCATGATTATTCTCATATTCTCAGACTCAATTTTAAGAAGCCATTTTGCGGCATGAAATGAGTATATATATGTGTGTGTATATATATATTCATAACAATACATATATTTTAATTGGAATCAGTTAAGTTTATTTATTGTGGGTCAAGTAGAACAACATTTTAAAGAGAGAGTACAGACCTCTTGACTGTCACACTTTTATCATGGAATTATGTCTTAGGTGTGACTAGAAATCCTTTATTCTGCAGTTGCTATAATTAGAATAATGCAGCTATATATTTTCTTTTTCCCTGAGCTTTATTGAGATATAACTGACATATAGTGTAAGTTTAAAGTGTACAACATAATTTTATATGTTTGTATTACAAAATTACTGTAATAAGGTTAGTTAACACATCGATCACCTCTCATAGTTAAAAATATTTTTGTGTGTGATGAGAACTTTTAAAATTTACTCTTTAACAACGTGAAACAAATATTCTTTAATCTGAATAAAATAATTGTATATATAAATTCTAAGTCTCTTTTTAACAAAACTTTTGTTGTAATAGGCAGTTATTGCATTGTTATGGACATTGTTTTGTGTTGATCGTAAGTGGTAATTATGCTGTTGGAAATCTGTAGTTTAAATATCCAAACATAGAATACCATCAAAGATGCATTTTTTTGTTTTTTGTTTTTTTTACAGGACAGAGTTCATTCAGAGAGGCAGGATTTCAATCACAGGGGCCGGCTTTCTCAACTACATTTTGGAAACTTTTGCCAGCACGTTCTTAAGACAGGGTGCCCAGAAGGTAAGCTTGTTTCTGCTTTGAACCAACATTCATTTTAAGAAACCATGGAGATTCCCATTGGGTTATTGGATAAGGCTCATGAGCAGACATCATGAAAAAAAAAATACAGTTAATAAGCAAAAATAAATAGATGCAAAAATAATTATGTTTGCTAATTATTACATACATTTAAGTCAAAGTAAAACTTAAGTACCATTTGTGACCCATTAAATTAAAAAAATGACAGTGAAGAATATGTAATAATACGGAAAATTCTTAGTCTAAGTAAGAGATATAATCAGAATGCATAATTATATTTTCAGTATATACAGAATGATGACAACTATTTCCTTAAAAAAAGATAATAGCTAATATTTATTGAGCACTTGTACCACTTAATGTAAAAATAATTTTTTATTTATCATCTCATTAATCCTTACAAACCTTTGAAGTAACTGTTTTTATGAGCCCCTGGTGGTCAATTCTAATGGTTTTCAAACTCCATACTTGTGGGAGCTCAGGCTTCCATGAGGTGTTTCAGAGGCCACATTGCGGTTCTAAGGTCTATACCCTGTTTTAAGTAGTACTATTCTATTTTTACATCTATCTTTATGTAGAGCTGTATATGTGCTATTTTCTTGCCTTCATAGCATTATTTTCAAAACTTCTTTAGTCTATTCCTTTTGCATGATTATATACTTATTACAGGTGTTTTGCAGTATTGACAAATTCATTTTTATTAACTTGCTTTATTTATAATATTTTACTTTTTAATTATTATTATTAATTGTGATGAGGAGCATAATCACTTACTTCCATGATTTATTCAGGACTAATGCTCTGCATATGTTACCTTGTTTTGTTTTGTAGAGTACTAGGTTTAATGGCTATTATTTGTGGAACAATAGGTTTAATAATAGGTTTAATGGCTGGTCTGAAGGAATATTGTTACGACCCCAGAGATTTTCTGGGTAACTGTTCTCCCTTTGCAGATCTAGGTTCAGGAATGAACCTGGACCACGATGTGTTAGTCTGGGAGGCTGAGGGTGATGAGTGAGTGTTTGATACTGTACCGTACTCCATAAACATACTGTCAGGGTTAATGTGTTCCTGGCCTAGAGGTGCATAGACTGGCCCAGGCTGTTTAAGCTGGGTGTGAAGTGGGTAGTTGAGCTTCTGGAAGGTCTGATGTGACCTTTACACAGACATGACTGCAGGTTTTTCTGCTCTATTGCAAAGTATGCATGTTCTGCAAAACTGATGGGGCTAAAATTAATGGGGCTGATGAGAAGAATAATTTCATTGCCATATCCCTGAGTGAGTTTTCTTGTACATTGTTTTGATCAAGATCAACAAACTTTTTCAAACTTCTTCATATTTCAGATGGTAAATATGTTAGGCTTTGTGGCCAAAAGGCAAACTGGAGATATTATGTTGGTACTTTATAACAAGAGAGAAACAAATTTCCATAAATTTTGTATTGACAAAATTAAAATATAATAATAATTGAATTTTATTTGTAGTATAGTTCTTCTAATCAGAAAAATGGGATTCTGTTTTGTGGAGGAACATAACAATTAGCTAAATTGTGACTCAAAGTTAGTGTTCCCTACCATCAGATTGCAAATATTCATTTGTAAAAACTGTTCTTATCTTGTGGACCGTACAAACACAGGTGGTGGACTGGATTTGGCCTGTGGGCTACATAGTTTGCCAACCCCCGCTTTAGATACATAAATATTCTTTGATTAATTCAGGTGGGTCTATATTTGACCTGTCCATCAGTCTGAACCTATCAATGACTTTTAACCATACACAGGTATGTGTATTCTGATCCTGTGAGATGCATAAAGTAGACACTATTAGTCCCATTGTATTAATGAGAAATGTCTTGAAGGAGTAAGTGCACCTAATATGTGGGTGGCTGCTAGTCTGCCTTCCTTTTTCTGACATATACGTGCTGAGCACGTGCTTTGTGTTAGGCACTGTGTTAAGCACAGGCTAAATGGATTTACTCAAGGTCATGGGACTAGCGAAGAGTGGAGTCGGGACTCACATCCCCATCTTTTACAACAAGTCTTACTCCTTGCCCCTTTACTGTGCAAGTTGTGTTCCGATAAATGAAGCAGAATGTTTGCCTCCTTAGCACCGTGCTTTGTATTAGATGCGTTTATGTTATGGTCTTACTCCTTCTGTAGTTATTATGACTCTTTGGTTGCAAGTAACAGAAACTACTTTAGGCTAGCTCACTGTAAGGGTACAAGGGGGGTGAGGTGGTCAGGCTTCAGAATGGTCTGCCCTGGGACGGAGAGCTGCCAGGATCCCATAGTATTCCTTCTTTAGCACTTGTCCGTAAGAATATGCATCTGTTTTATTCTCTTTTCTCTGCTCCACAGACTGTAGAGTATGATGTGGGCCTCCATAGTCCAGGTGTGTATGTTATATAGAGTTCTGGCCAACAAAGAGGCTGTCTGCTTATTTCATTCGTTTCCAAATTCTTTGGGAGGGACTCTTGTTGTCCTTTCATGGGTCAAGCATGGCTGGGTGGGTAGAAGTCAAGTTTTACGAATAAGGCTCGACTTGGGCTGTGAGTGTGTGGGTCAGGGTTGGGATGTCACATCCCAGGGAAAGGGGGGGTGGGATGTGCCAATATTCCCAAAGGCTTCTGGCATGGTATCACAGTAGATTCTGTGTTCTTGATGGCAGAGAGGGGGTTTTATTTTTTTTATTTATTTAATTTTTTTTTTAAGATTTTATTTGTTTCTTCGACGCGGAGAGAAAGACAGCAAGAGAGGGAACACAAGCAGGGGGAGCGGGAGAGGGAGAAGCAGGCTCCCCGAGGAGCGGGGAGCCTGATGCGGGGCTTGATCCCAGGACCCTGGGACCATGACCTGAGCCGAAGGCAGACGCTTAACGACTGAGCCACCCAGGCGCCCTGAGAGGGGGTTTTATTAATCTTAATCCCAGTTCCCCGCAACCCATAGTAGCTTGGGCAGTGCTCCTACATTTATGTGGAAATGAGTAGAAAGGAGATAGAATGCACAGCTACATCTCAGTTGGTTTCTGATGAATATGATCTGGAAATCATCAAGTGACTTCAAATTTTTAAAGTGAGGAACCCAACTAATTTCTCTCTTTTTCTCACTTTTGCTCAGAAGTAAGAATATGCTTTTCCTGCTAGGTTTTGCCTTTTCTGACTTTCCTCCTTTTTTTTTTTTTTTTTTTAAGAGGCTTAGTTTAATGAGTTAGCTTTTCAATTTTAGGAGCCGCTCGGGCTAAATTGTCTTTTACCTTTTGTCCGCGTGCTGATGTTTTCCAGTATCAGCCTGACTTCGTGATAAACCTTCACAGCTGAGCCTGCATAAGTGGCTTTTGTGGAAGTTACCATGAGAGTGTTTTAGGTGACTTTATTTTTACTTTAGGACTTTATCCTTGAGGCTGTTCAGTTTTGGTGAAGGTGGGATCTGATAATCTATTTTTATCTAGGAAAAGCACAATGAGGCACTCACAAAGTTTATATCTCTGTGTTTGTCAGTTAGAAGCTGGCCCTAGATACGGGCCCCCGAGGTGAGGTCACTTGTGCCTCCAGACGGTGTGCAATTGCTTTTCTCTCCTCCCTTTACCACTCGGAGGTGACTTGCAATTCGGGGGCCTTTCTGACACAAATGCTGACTTTTCATATATCACTTGGATCTCACTTTCGTCTTAGAATGGAATTATGTGGGCAGGTGAATGGGGATTGCCCTCTGGTAGCCAAATCAACAACTAGGTTTTTTTTTTTTTAATTATGTTATGTTAATCACCATTTAATTATGTTATGTTAATCACCATGTTTTTGAAATAGAAGCTGTTCTAACTTCTAGCCCACTAAAGCCCCTTGTTTTTGTAATGTGGCACAAATAACTTTATCCCTCTGAATCCTAAATTTAATGGTCTACAAGGTGGGAATTTAAGATTTTTTTTTAAAGATTTCATTTATTTATTTGAGAGAGTGAGTGAGATAGAGAGCATGAGAGGGGGGAGGGTCAGAGAGAGAAGCAGACTCCCCGCTGAGCTGGGAGCCTGACTTGGGGCTCCATTCTGGGACTCCCAAGATCAGGACCTGAGCCAAAGGCAGATGCTTAACTGACTGAGCCACCCAGGCGCCCCACAAGGTGGGAATTTTAATGCAGTCTCACAAATAGGTGTGAAAACTATGTTGGAAGTTTTCAGTAGATTGAAAAACACAGGTTAAATACACAGAAGATGTTCTTCCTGTTTTCAAGAATTAAAAAATAATCTAACTCACATGCTTCTTTTTCATACTTTCTTTTTATGGTTACGTGTTTGTTTGTTTCTCTTCAAATTCATCTGAACACACAGTAGATTTTAAACTCAGAAGTTTAGTTCCATAGACACTTTGGGTATCCACTATGTGCCAGGCACTGGGTGGGATGCTGGAGACACAAGTAGGAAGGAGAATTCACGAGAGTGGAATCTGTGCCTGCTACGGCTTTATTTCACAGGTATCCAAAAGCCTGGAGTGGAAAGCTTGACAGGCAATGAATAAACATCTGCTGATAATGAGAATTTATTGAGCCCCACTTGGTGTCTGGTGCTTAGCACTATGGTCAGTGCTGAGAAGAATATTAAAATAACAACTATACTTATAAGAGGTTACTAGATGCCAAGCACATTACCTAAATTACTTTTCTTCCTTTTTTTTTGTTTTTAAAGATTTATTTACTTACTTGAGAGAGAGAAGGAGAGAGAGAGAATGAGTGCGAGCAGGGAGAGGGGCAGTGGGAGAGAACCGCAGCAGACTCCCTGCCAAGCCCCATGCGGGGCTCCATCCCAGGATGCTGAGATCATGACCTGAACCAAAGTCAAGAGTCAGACATTTTAACCAACTGAGATACCCAGGCGTCCCCGCCCCTGTTACTTTTCTGAACAACTCTGTGACATAGGAACTCTTATTCCTGTATTATGCATTGGCAACCTGAGGTCCCAAGCGATGAAGCAGTTTTCTCAAGGTCACAGAA